AATGCAGCTTCTAATTCCAGTGTCCACACAGAAAATTTGGGAGAATTTAGGTATTTAAGTACATCATGAAACCGTTCAAAGGGTTTTATACCACAACAACAACATTGTTCGGTCTCGAATGAGAAGAGCCCCTGCTCTTAAGCCTGAGCACAAAGCTGCCTGACTCAATTTTGCTAGGAAAAATATGGCCACTCAATGGAATAAGGTAAGTTTTTTGTTTTGTTTAGACCTATCATATAGCAAAAGAAATAACAACCTTTTTGTTGTACAGATTAAATTATTTTTTGTCCAAAAAGATTATTTGGATGGGCCAGATGGTTTAGCGTTCTATTGGCATGATTTACAAAAAAATCCCAAGTACTTTTCATGAAGGAACTTCAGTGGTGGGAATGTTATGGTTTGGGATGCTTTTTCTGCATTGAGAAAATTGGATTTGTCATTTGTTACCTGTTGCATGAACCGTGCCAACTATCAACAAGTTCTGCAGAACAAATTGCTGCCATACAAGCATAGATGCAGAATTCTTGTTATTTTCCAATAAGACAACACATCTATCCATGGATCATAAGATATGAAACAGTGGTTTGAAAATAAAGGAATTGGCCAGTTTGTTCTCCTGATTGCAACAGTATAGAAAATGTTTGGGGATCTTGGTTGACTGAATTTATGACCAAAATCATCAGTATGCTAACATTGAATACTTAAAACAAGCAATTGTCACTGCTTAGCACCCTTAAGGCATCAATCATAAAAACTTTGTCAATAACATCAAAAATGCAATTTGGCATGCTATCAGTAAAGGACATGTGCAAATAAATTATTAAATTAAACTATTTTGTAGTATTTAATTCTTTTTGTATACATTTACTAGTCGATTCTATACTTTTGTGGTGCTTAAAATCAGTTTTTTTTACAATTTCTGCTGTTTTCTGCAATATAGGAAACTATGAGTTTCAACAAATTATGTTTTCATAAATCCTGAACAATATAAGAAAGGCAGCTACATCACATGTGTAATTTCTAACTTTTGTATAGTTAATTTGCAGTGGTTCTATACTTTTGTGGAGCACCTTATGAATAAATTTAAATCAAAGCATTATACAGTAATACCTTGACTTACGCGAACCAGGAGTTACGCGATTTTCAAATCTCATCAATTCGTCTTTTGTTTGAGCGCCACTCAACTCTCGATTACTCACTCCCCCCACACCTATTGTTCGGCTTACATGTTCGAGAACGGAATCAAAAGACAAGATAAAATTAACGAGAACATTTATTAGCTTACATACATCCGACTTGGATTTTACACAAATTGCGAAATTATACCACGACTTACACGAATTCAACTTATGCGGTTATCACTCGGTCCCACCTATCGCGTAAGTTCGGGGTATTACTGTAATTTATTTTAAAAAAAACTATGAAAATTGTTTCTGATAAATAATTTCTCTCTTCCTATAAGTATGTACATATTTTGTAATAATAAGGACATGATTTATTCTATCATTTATAATTTAACCATTTCATTGTAATTTAATTGTTAATCATCATTTTGACTACTTTCATATTAAAAACATATTTTTAATATGAAAGTAGTCAAAACAATGAAAAATTGTGTGAGATATTGAAAAAAGTGTTTGTATCTTGTATAAAAGAATACTGAGGAGGAAAATACTGTAATTTCCAAAATGCATCAGGATGAAATAAATTGGTTGATTGGCTAGTATTTTTGGAGTCTGTGGATGTGATAATCTGTGTAGCCTAGAATATAACATTGTATGAACTGATTACATATTGAGATATATATTTTATTCAAGCAAATTGAAAGTTTTGAGCTGATGAAGCAATTTTTTAATAAAATATTTTATATACATTTTAAATATATTCAATATGTTTTGTTTCTGTTTACTGATAAGTTGTTGATTTTCATTTGTAATTTTTACTCCATATGTCATTAGAAATACGTTCTTAACATCAACTAATATACTGGCCCACTGAAAATTTCTTTGATTCTTCAATAGATCAGATTGCCCCTTATTCTAGTCATTTTTTTTAATGAAGATTAAAATGTTCCTAAAAAACATTTATACTACAGTATTAGGTTGGGTAAAGTCTATAGTTAAAGTTCATAAATTACATCATTCTTATAGAAAAATTATCTATAAAAATGGGCTTGATAGAAGAAAATTTCAATTTGCTGTTATAAAAAAAAAATACATTATATTCAACAGGTTGTGACAGGGATGGGGAGTGTTAATAGAAAGATAATGATCCAAAAATTCAAAAATTTTTCTATTTGAAATAATTTTTTTGCCCAAATCATTATTTAGAAGTGTTTTGATCATTTATCACACAGCAAGTTCTTGCTCATTTAAATTGTTGCACTTTAATAGAATTTGGAAGTACTATTCTTTTGGATTCAGTATATGAAAGGATAATGGAACAGTTTAACCTTTACAAATACAAATAATGATAATAATAATGATTATTATCTTTACTCTAGGAATTACTTATACAATATCATCAGACTCCTATGGTAAATCAGTGAATTCCATTGTATTTTCTATTGGCCTATTTTTAAAATTAGTTTTGCATTGGCAGTAAATATGAATAAATTAATGTACTGTAGATCCTTTTTATGGAATTGCTTGATTTTAATACCAAGGGCAACAGATCAAGTATAACATCAGCATAGGGAGTGTCTAAAATTTAGTGACAAAATGTGATAGGAAGGGAGTAGCTAGTCAAAAAGAACTTAAAATTGGTGGCATAATATTTGAATGACCCATTTTCAGGACATATCCAAAGGGGAAATCTTTGAAAAGTTTGAGTCAAATGGAGAAATGAGAGTTACAACCAAGCCTCCAGACAGATGAGTCATCTCTATCCTTGCTGCTTCCTATAAATACTATAACCCAGAGAGTTTAAGTGATTGATCAAGATGAGATATACTCTCACTAATTAGATCAAGTCTTTTCATTATTTGCAGAGTCATTTCAGACAGAAATGTACATAAATAAATATCACCTAGTTCAAATACAGATGAGAAGTGGATAAAAGTTATTTCTGCTGCAGGATCTCAATGATTGCCCAAATCCTGCTGAATGTGCATCCAAAACATTTTGTTTTTTTTTGACTCTGAAGAATTCTGGTATTAATTAATTAATCCATCAATATTAAAACCCAATCCATAGTTTGTGCTATTTAATAATCTATTTATATTTGGAGGCATCTTGATTTACCAGTTCCTGGATCTCTCTCTCTCTGAATAAAAATATGTGGTTGCTGTACTTAGAACAAACATCATGCCAATTGTACATAATGCAATTGTACAAAAACCTCAAGCTAACTTAAAAACTTGTTCAGAAGAGAAAAATGAACAGTTAACCATCTGCCACCTCCTTCCCCTAATGGTCAAATACTCACAGGAAGTAAAAAACCCACTTATATGATATGAATTTATCAGTTCTCTAAAACCTAACTGGTGTCAGTCATCCTAATGTAATAAAATGGGCTTATTCAACTACTATATATAGTATTGGAGCCCCATATAAATTTTAAATAAATAGTACTTAAAAATGAATTGTATTTTTAATAATATAAAATAGTTTCTTCATTATCAAAAATACAGTAGTTTATTTAAAATTGTTAAAGAAATCAGATTTATTATAACAATTATTATTTCAGTTTATAAAACAGATGTAGCCATTATATTTGATAATTAATTAAATATGAAAATATTTTATTGTTCAATATATAGATATATATAAATTGGATTTTTTCATTTGTTATCTTTTTCTTACCTCTTTGGTCATTTTGCAGAAATCTTTTTCTCTTCTTCTCTACTTGAATCATTTCTATTCCCCCTTTCCCCTTTTTCATACTTTATCCATATCAGTTTCTGTGATCTTTTACATTATATTAAATAAAATATTACTCATAATTTATAACATCTTAATGCAAATTGATGATGAATTTATATAAAATATTATATTACAGTAATATAATATCTAGTGCAGTTATAATAGCAAAAGATATGTACAGAACTATTATGATTTGGAGTAGGGTATAATAAAAATTATAATTATGATATATTTTTAAATGCTACACACAACACTTAACACCTCAATACTACTTCCAGCAGTCAAAAGATTTTAATATTCTAACGTTTTCGGCCNCGATTTTTATATCTTACGCATCGTTTAAATATTTAAAAGTTCGGAACACAGCTGTATTCGATTATTAGAATCCTTCAAAAGATAGAACTGTTTTTTAATGTTTCATCCTGAAGAGGGCCTCTAAAAGACGGCCGAAAACGTTAGAATATTAAAATCTTTTGACTGCTGGAAGTAGTATTGAGGTGTTAAGTGTTGTGTGTAGTATATCTTTCCAGTTTACGTGTGTTAATTTTTTGTCTGATATTTTTAAATGATTGAAAATGTTTTTGAGCCAGTGGCATAACTAAGAAGTCAGACATCTGCTCACAAGAATTTTGCTGGAGCCCATTCCAAGAATCCTGCAAGTTTTGCTGGATCTGACATCAGAGCCCCAGTTGGCTGGGGGTTCACCCACACTGTAGGCTTTGTGGGCTTGTTATTTATGTCATTGTTTCGAGCATTTAACAAAATACTTTCTTGAATGAATTTTATAAATGTTCATAGCATTTGTTTAACTATTATTATTAATATTGTAAGTTCAAAAAATATTGTAAATACTTTTCTTCTTTTATCAAAAGAACTTTTAAGATTAAAAACTAAATTCAGTTATCAATTATAAAGGCTATGTTGTAATTTATTCTAAGTAATTCAGAAATTATTTACTTTGCATTTTAATTTTAATTTTTTATATAATTTTATAATTGAATTCATTAAGTAAAAGACATTTTTTACTTAAATAACATTTGATAATGTTTTAATATTTATTAATGAAATATTTTATATGAAAATAAAAAAAATTATCATTACTGAATTTATTTCATAAAGTGTTTTAATTATATTTAGGTCCAGGATTAGCTTTTATAGCATATCCAAAAGCAGTAACACAAATGCCTTTATCACCCCTATGGGCAGTTCTTTTCTTTTTTATGATATTAATTCTTGGACTTGATAGTCAAGTAAGTAAATATTAGTTATTAAACTCCAAACAGTAGGCCTATTATTATTATTATTTTTATTCATAAAATTAAACTTTTGTTACTTTTATTTATTTACCTAATTTTTCTAGTTATTCTATTTTTAGTTTATCAAATAAATTGTATAAATTAAATTTCATAAAATGAAAGAGCACTACTAAATTCAGGTTACCAAGCAATTTATTTATAGAAACAATTTTTTTTATTTATAAAAATTTGATGATGAAGATCGATTCTATTTGTAAAAATTTTTCATGAACTACATAGGCCAAATTTTTATTTAGTATTTACTAATAAAATAAAAATTTATTATAGCAATGTTTATTTTTATACTTAAAGAAACAATTGTTAGAAATGCAGAGCAATGTCATTTATATCAAAAAAATTAATCATGTAAACCAGCCAAATTGATCACTTTCAATTAAGATTAGCATTTTTTTTTATTAATAATTTTAAAGATTAATAAAAAAGTACTTAATGTAGTCTTCTTCAAGAAGTCATAAAGCTTTATTTTGTACTCAGCTGTATCAAATAGTTATGAAATTTTGTTTGATTAAAATTATTTCAAAAAACAATAATACTAAGAATTATGAAGATCTCTATATTATCAAGAATTTTATAAATTGTTTAAATACTTTTTGATTAAAACATTTGTTTGAAATGCTAAATTATCAATTGCTAAATTATTAAACAATATAATTTATATTTTTAAATTATTTCTTAAAAATATCAAATACCATATTTCCTGTAATAACTGCCAACTAGGCAGTTTTTTTATGGGTAAATTATTGGAAGTAAAAACATATTGCCATTATAAAGAGGAAAAAAAATATGTAAAATTAACTTAACTAAAATGTAAAACTTATTAAATTGGAATATTGTGACAAATATATAAAAAATAATTTGAATTTACTTAAATTATCTTAATTTTGATCATTTCCAATATCATAGTATCAAACATCAATAATAATTATTAGCCAGTATTCATTTTTTCAACTTCAATATTGGAAACCATTGTATCAATAGTCAATTATTCAATAATATCAAACACTACTAATATACTAATGTATTGTGTATAATTGGTTATTATCAGTATAAGTTAATAACAATATAAGTTAGACATGTGATTATTACGAGAATATTTACATGGGCAATTATTACAGGAAATACAGTGTATACATTTCAAATAGTGTCAATATATATAATTTTTTTCTAATAACTACTAAATTAAAATTTTGAAGAAAATATGTTGAATGTATTATTATATTTATTATTTGAAGTTTGCATAGGACAATATTAGATTAGGAACTTTTACTAATCTAATTACTATTTATGCAAACTTTTAGTAACAAAGAAATAAATTATTCCATTAATTTGCTTCAGACATTCAAAGATTTGAAGATATTCATCACATTAATTTTATTTCTTTGTATTCTGTTTCTAGTTTGTGGCTATTGAAGGCTATGTAACAGCTATTGTAGATATGTTTCCTCATATTTTAAGGAAAGGCTATCGTAGAGAATATTTTATTGCAATCACCTGTGCTATTTCATATTTAATTGGATTATCAATGGTTACAAATGTAAGAAATACTTCTTATAAGTTATTTTTAAATCATTGTAATTTTGAAAATTATATTGAAATTATTTTAACCTCCAAATTGTTTTCAGAAAAACTCATAATTAATTTATTATAATATTTCTGTATTTTATGTTTAGTGTTTCATCAAAATATTAAAATGAAAAGTTTAAATATCAATTTTATTTTAAATAAAAAAAGCTGTGTCTATTGTACCGTACACAAAATTATCATAGTTATTTACTTGGTTTTCTAACTAGTTAATTCATAAATGCTACAAATATTCAATGCAACAACTCTCAAAACTACTATTCCTCAGAGCAAAAGGAGAAATCTTTAAACATGTATAAGGAGAAATGCAAACTGTTATATTTTCCTTCTAAGTTCAGGAATGATTAATGTTTTATTTCAGATATAAGACAATATACTTGATAATATTGAGTCATTGAAATAAACTCTTGTTAACTTATAAATTTTTACTAATCAAATACTTTTAAATATCTATTTGAAATTAATTTGATAGTAGAAACATTACTGATAAATTGATGATGAGACTTTTCAGTTTTTCTTAAAATAAATTTTTAGGCTGATTAAAGACTATAATGTCTTAGAAACTTTTCAGTTTTAAAGAATAAAATAATAATTAAAATTTATAATTAAAATATTCTGCAGTGAGTTGCCTAACTTTCCTGGCAACATTTGGTGGCATCATCTGTTGTTATATTTTATTAAAATACTTTTTATATTTTTAACTATTATAAAATGGCAAAAAGCTTCATTTTAAGGATAGCAATGGGTTCATAAAAAAATTATAAATGCTAATAACAAGTGAAATCATCATTAAGTCTGATCCTACTGAAGATACACGTAACCTTTATCTCCCCCATCCCCTCGACCTTTGATAACTAAAATTTAATAGTATCAACTCTCTAATAAACAAACCTCCATGCAAAATTTCAGAAATTTTTGACAAAAAGCACATGAATTATTAAGCTTTAAAGAGAATGAACAAAATTGTGCTCTCCTCCTAAATACTAACATCCATACATATAGAAAAAATCCTGAATTATTTTGCATTTCTCAACATTTCAAAGTGACCTGAGTCAAAAAATGTAAAATTCTTGGAGAGGGGTCATTTTTTGACCAATTGCCATACTTTCCCTTTGTTATATATAACAGCTGGGAAAGTAAAAATTCAAATGAAATAGAAAGATAAAAATATTTCAATTATTTTAAACTGTAAATAAATAAAGTTGTTTTTCAAAAAATTTTGGCATTACTGACATCAAATTCAAACAATCACCTTAATGAATTGGGCTATTTTTGGCTATTATTATTATTATTCATTACAGTGATTGTTTGGATTTGATTAATATTGGGCTTTAAGATGTTTATATATGTATTACTGACTTCTACAAAATATCTATAAAAATATAAATTTGGATTTAAATTTATCCATTTTGTAATTAAAATTACAAAAATAAAAATATATTATGTTCAATAATTTGTTTGTTTCAATACAAGGTAATTTAAGACTTAAAATCTTTTAATCTTTCAATGGCACAATTCACATTTTTAAATATTTTATTTCTGTAATAAATTTCCATTTTAAGATATATTAATAAATGAATTTAGGAATTAAATTTGTTTCCATTAAAATAAAATAAATCATCCAATTATTGAATATAAATTTTGAAATAAATAAATACAACTTATGATCAATTTGATAGTCTTACATTATAAAATATTATAATTTCAGCTATAGAGAAGAATAATTAATTGCATGAACATTTTAGCATATGAAATAAAAATACTTTCTTTAGATTTATTGACTATTAAGTAATAAACACACTAAATACTGGATAATATTCAAAACACACAACCAAAAATCTAGTCCATGAAACACAATGATGGAGAAAATGAACATTTTCAATTGCTTTTAGCAATTATCCTCAAGTTAAAGAATGTATTCGGAAATGTATAAGTGAATAGAATGTACAATGGAATGTAGTAATTTAAATATAAAACAAATGCTTGATTAGCTGTCAGATATCTTGTGTTTATATTGTGATGTAAATAGCTAGATCTAAAAGTAATGTTAAATATCCAATAATGTCCTCCAGGCTGGTGATAATATGTTGTTGTCCATATAGTTGATAGCTGTGTTGTTTCTATTGACCTTGTAAATTTCCAGCATTTTCAGGTACTTAAGTAGAAGGGGCTCCCATGTGTGGTGAATGAGATGTGCATTATCAGTGTTCACTTGCACATCCTTATTCAAGGCATATATGTCTAAAACCATTGTAGTTTGCTTTTTATTAATTGAAATAAGATGATCTTGCAGACACTATTTTAATAGACATATCATAGACCCAATGTATTGTAGGTGTCGGCTGTCTCTGTTGTCCCGAAGTGGTATGGCATATAATCCTGGAAAGAACATCTTATTGTGAGGGTCTTTGGTATTTCTGAGAAATCTATAGATGGTGGGGTTCCTTCTGTAGGCCAAAGAATATTGACTATAGTTTTCATTAAAAACAACAGTAAACATTGAAATTAATATAAATCCAGATAAGTTATTCAAAGGTATTAGAGAAACTATTGTTTAATGTAAATGAATTCTAATAAAGCAGACTTTGTTGTTGTTATTTTATTATTAATATATTGGATCTATTAAAAAACAACAATCCATTATTTATTATTAAAATAAAAATGACTTTCAGTTTTGGAATGTATGGAGTTCATTATTTTAAATGAAATCAGAATAAAACATTCTTTCATTTAAGGAAAATACTTATTATTACATTTTGAAAATCATTTTATGTTATAAATATCAGTTTAAAATGTTAAAAATGATTACAGTTTTGTAAATTATATTAACTGATAACTTGTTAATGCATTAAATTTTTAAAATAAATATTTATTTATTTTCTAGGGTGGAATTTATGTTTTTCAATTATTTGACTATTACTCAGCAAGTGGTATGACTTTGCTTTGGTTTTGTTTCTTTGAATGTGGAGCTATAGCTTGGGTTTATGGTAAGTTGATATTAATTTTAAATTTAATGATAATATTCAGATAATATAAAGCAATTATATAATTGTCAGTTCTTAGCTAAATATGTTAATTCTATTGTTATAATTTTAAAAAAGAGAGAAATTTACAAGAAAATACAGTTCAAAAAGTTGATATGAACTATGTGTTATAAAATTATAAAAAAAACAAACACATCAATCTTTTTTGTTAAATTAAATGATAAAATATTTGTTTCAGTAGTGGATGAACAATGAATTATCCTACATTGAAGGCCTTGCATTTATTTGGGAAAAATTATTGATTTTTTCCAATCTTTCAGTAATACCTTCTGTACAAATGGAAGGTACAATAATCCAAAATCATTCCATAAACACCTTTTTGGCTGCTGGGATTAGCTTTTATTTAGCTAGAGGATGAAGTATTAGACTAAGTTGAAAACATTAGCTAAATAAGAATGAATCCCAGCAGCCAAAAAGGTGTTTATGGAATGATTTTGATTATTCTGTTGAGGTTGATGTAGTTTATTGGTACAATAATCATTTAAACAAGTAGATATTTGTTTGTAAGCATGACATATACTTATTATTGTATGTAAGAAGTAGTGTCAAAATGGAAGACTTGAAATTGTTTTTATGTTATCAAATATTAGCTATATGTTTATGTATTTATGGTATGCAGAGCTGAAAGATAAAAATAAATGATATATTTTAATTAAACAATTTCATTAATAATTAATAAATTCAGTATTGCTGCATTTCTTGAACTTTGTTAGATTATTAATTACAGTATATATTTATATGGGGATATAAGTTTATATATTTATTAATTTATAATGGACTATTAACTGATGAACAGTAGTTTCAGCTTTTTAGATGCAACTATAAATGTGATGAAATACTGTACTTCTAAGTTTTTTCACAGAAAAACAATAATTTACATTTATTTTAAAAATATTTATCAACAATTTTAAAACCCATTTGACCTCAAATTTGCATTTATTTACATATTTCATCTTTTGTCAAAATCTTATGTATGTGTTGTGACTACATTAATGATAATACATACAGAAATAACAACTCATAACCAATTTTAATTGATTAAGCCGAACTTTCTTGATGAAATTATTAAACTATTTTTGGGTTACATTACTAATTAAAATATTAATTAATTTGACTAGAGTTAAGCTGCCATCTTGTATTAATTTTAATAATTATAATACTGTAATTTAATTTAGAAATTTCCAGAAGAAAAAATCGGCCCAGAATGGGACTTGAACCTGAAACTTCTGCTTAAAGTGTAGATTGTTGCCAGTTATGCTATCCAGACCCTTGTCTGATCTTCACTTTCAGAACTATTAATTTAGACATATAACCATACTGGTTACTTACAGTGCTGACTGAAAACAACTTTAAGCATCCACAGCCTTTAACTTCCTCCATGGCATTCAGTTAGCTGGTGCATTTACCTGGCATAGTGTATATACTGTACATATAAACAACTCAATGTAGTTCAAAAGTAGCATGATAATTTCAGCAAGATAATTTGACTTAATAATTATAATAAATTAATATGAGATGGTGGATTAACCACATATCTCTAGTCAAATTAATTAATATTAATTAAGTTATTAATGTAGCTTATTAATTTTGGTAAGATCATTTGGCTTGATGATATGCATTACATTACTTTTATATATGTATTAAATAAGTAAAAGTGAAAATTTAAATTCATAATTAGTTAAATTATAATTAAAATTCATTGCAGCAAACTGTATCATTTAGGTTATGCCAAAGTAATATATTTTTTTTTTTATTAAAAGATAACTTGTAAGGACTGAAGTATGAACATAAAAATTTCAGTCATTAATGAGATAAACTATTTTAGACAACACAAGCCTCAATGAACTCTTCATTATTTATGCTAAAATAATAATTATTTATACAATAATAAATATTAATTTAGACTGATTGTTTAAAATATTTTTTTAATTATAAATATTTTTATTTTAGGTGTAGAAAGATTTTATGACAATATCTCTGATATGCTTGGATTTAGAATTGGACCCTGGCTACGGATTTGTTGGACTTACATCACTCCGACAGTTACAGGTGTAAGTATAAGGAAATTATTAAATACTGAACTTAATTTTTTGAATTTAACAAGATTATTTCTATGTTTAGGGCATATTTCTCTTCAGTTTAATCACATTTAAACCTGTAACTTATAATAAAGTTTATGAATATCCATTGTGGGCCACTGGAATTGGATGGGCAATGGCTCTTGCTTCCATGATGTGTCTCCCTGTCTATTTTTTATACAAAATGTTAGTTACACCAGGAACCCTTACTCAGGTAAGATATATATAAAATTTTTAAATACTAAATATGATAAAGACAAACATTTTAGTAATTGTTATTGTAAAAAGTTAAATGAGATTTTAATAATAATGGTGTCAAATATCAATAAATTGTCATTAATTTAAAAAAGAAAATTTTATATTTTTAGAGATGGAAAGTTTTGACTACTCCATGTATACCACCAAGATTACTTCCTACTACTGAACAAGTATCTTCAGCACTTTTAAAACCATCTGCATTGAATTGTAATGGTATTGATTCAAGTACAATTGTATGAGAATAACACAGTATTATAAATTTAAGAAAAAAGATTAGTCCAGTGCATGTATCCCATTATCCCTTTTTCATCAGTAATATTTTTAGATGTTTTTCAGGTACTAAATATTTTAAAATCAATTTTGCAGTATAATTTTATCATAAAGCATGTGTAAATTTTTCATTGATTTGTATTGTATGGGACCACATAGATTGAAAATTTATTTTCCTCTTCCATTAATGTTCTCAAAATTTCGTAAACTGCTTGGAGAACATATTCGATTGGTGCTTCGAATAATAGCTGTATCCACCTTCACTGCTCACCATGTAATGTATAAAGCTTTGTATGTATAATTTCAATCATAAAATTTATTTGCGATAGGGACCATGTAAAAAGAATGCAAGTAAAATATGTATTTCTGTTGGTATTTTGGCTATTTGGTAACGGCTTAGTTTTGCAAAATACCATTATTGAGATTTATCCACTTTTATATTATTTTAAAACCTTCCAAACGATCATCAATCAATTTAGACTGTGCCAATATTTTAGTCCGTTGATGTTTTAAACTGTACAAGATATTCTTTGTAGTAAAAATATTTCTTCAGAAAACTAAATGAATTGTGTTATATGAGATTATAATAGTTATTAAAATGTGCTGTAGAAATTAATTTGTACAATAATGAAATCTAAAAAATTTTGATAGTAATTTAAAATTATGTTTTAAACAAAGTAAAATTATTGTAAATGATTTAAACTCGGAGAAAATTTTAACAATTATTATAGTCCATATTTATCAAAGGATTAATTTGAAATTTTAATTGTTAAATTGATAAAATTTTTGCATGAATATTTTAATAATCTTAAGTTATAAATATGATTGATACCAATACATATACATATATATATAAAATAATTAAAACTGAAATTAATTAAAATATAAAATTTTAGCTTTTACAATGAAAAATTCTGAATTTAGAATTTTAAAAAGTTGAAGATAATCTAAAAAATGATTTTCATTCACTTAACTGTTAGAAGATAACCATTGATTTGTATTTCAATAAACAACAAGGATACTTAGTATAATAAAATTGGGATAATTTAAAGTTTTGTCTGTTTTATTTATTGATTTTATTACACTAAAATAAGTGAAACCCCATGTTATTTTTAACATTGAATAAATATAAAACTTTTGCTTTATTACAACAAGATCATACAAAAATCTAAACATTTAGTTTTAGATTTTTTGTTTTTTCTTAAGATGGGTCTATAGATCTGAAAACATTTGGAAATTTTGTATATTTTGCTCCAAAAGAATACAATGTTTTATATTTATTAATTTTATTACATTTATTTCAAAAAGTTTTCAATATATATAAATTCAAAACTTATATATACACACACACACACACACACACTTCAACAGAAATTTCATATACTGTATAGCCTACATATGAAATTTCTGTTTGACAATGAACTAGAAAATTCCAGACCAGGAGAGGATGGTTGAAGTTGACATTAGTGAAACACATTATTTTTCATATTTGGATATTTACATTGAATCAATCTATATAGTTAGTGTGCATGTGTTAGTGTTACTTTATATCTTAAAAGTGAAAGATATTGGACTTCACGCCAATCCATAGATAAGCAAGAAACGAGAAAATTATCATCCAGGCATTTTTTTGGTTATATTCCAAAGCTGTTTTGCCGTTAAAGTAATTCGAATTCGTTATTCGATAAAAGGATATCAACCGTTTTCATCTGCCCGAAGAAGACGAAAATAGTTTCGTCGAAAGCGCTAGTAATTTATAGCGATACTTGTACGTTGTTTAACACCTGGATGATAATTTTCTCGTTTCTTGCTTACTTTATATCATTAGTAAAATATAAAAATCAATTAAATATAAACATCCAAATATGAAAAAAAATGTCTTTTACTAATGTCAACTTCAACCATCTGGTCTGGAATTTCCTATAGTTCACTGCCAAACAGAAATTTTGCATAATCGCTGTCTATAAATTAAAAAAAAAAAAAAAAAGCAACGATGTCAATAGCAATACCTCTATGGTATTTTGTTATATTTAGTAGTATTGGATTTATTGAATGATTTTTAAAATTGAATAAATATTATCTAAATGGCAGTCATGTTATATTATACAAAATAGGAAATAGCTAATAGAGAACTGTGATTTACACTCCAGGTATATGCGGCTTAACGATAATATGTTCTAAACATCAGAGTGAAGCCTACAAGAAGCTTTAAAAGTACGGGGTGACGAACCTAAGGCATGCATGACCAAAGTGGCATGTCATGAGAAATCATCTGGCACATAACGTATACAATTTTGGTTTATCACCTGGGTTTTTCAATTATCCTTTCAGTTTATCAGCCTTCGCCCTTTTTTCAATACGCCTCTCTACATTTATTCTAATTAAATAATATTCGTTACATTTTTATAAGTATTGTTAAGTTTAAAACTTCCAAAGGCATAAATATATTTTTTTAAATATTATAACTAGGCTAGGCCTATATGGCAGGCAGACTCAAAAAGTTCTCTACCCGTGTACTACTCACGTGTACTATACATAATACCAGTGGCGTTCCGTGACATTTGATAATAGGGAAGCCGTGTTTCTGTAAGAAGCCGACTTCCAGAAGCAATCAGTTAATCGCGTGTCAGCGATGGTCTAGGATCCATTCGTATTCGTTTGTTCGATAAGCCAGAAAAACCGTAGACTTCTCTAAATGTATTTTTCATATCACAATTACATTCTGAATCGCTAGCCACGATATAAGGGCTACAATTAAAAATAAAATAATAAAAACTTACTTGATGAAATAAAATGTGTGGTGGATATACATACCTAGTATAAAATATTCTTCAAATGTATGAATATACTTTTAAAGGAAATTATAATTAAATATAGCTTTGTAAAGAAACGTACATAAAAGTAACGTAAAATATTCTTTACTTTTTAAATCCTAACCAACTTTGCGTTGAATTTTCATCGATTTTAAGCCTAACAATTTTTTAAAATAATAATTGTCGCTATTGTATCGTTCAAAATTATTTTTAAATTACAGTCGACCCCCTATAATGCGGTAGATACGTTCCGCTTTATAAGAATTTCGCGTTGTAGGAATCCTCAAATACACGAGTCAATCACAGCCCGGCACGTGTGCAGTTTACGGACTACGGCTGTTTGAAAGGTTTTCTTCTATAAAATTAATCAATTCTAGACTTATTTCACTCAACATTTCCAAAACACGTATAATTTTTTGGAAATAATCCGTATAAACTATGCTATAAACAAAAAATTGTAAAATTACTTACCGAGTGTGCACCGTTCGACCACGCCATTGCTTAAGCTTGTTTTCGTCGCGGAGCAGCGCATCAAACGGCGGGCGCATTTTCTGATAAGTTATTTTTCTGCGAAAAATTCGCTGAACTTTGGAGACATCATTAATAGAAGTAATTTTTATGACCGTTGAATAAGAAATGTTTTTTCACAAGAGATGTATAAAATTACAGTACTTAATTTATATACTGTACAAACAATAGTAAACTCAACTTACCCGCCTAAACTCTCTGTAGCATGTAAGTACTTCGACTGCTCATCCACTATTAGCCCAGATTCAACCAATCTTGTCGCGACAGGAGTCGGCGATGACGTTTTACCACATTTTACGAGTCTCTTTTAGCGTCTTTATACGAATACGGTCGCAATTTTTTCGCTGCGATATACGAATCCGCATTATATCAACCCGCGTTATAAGGGGTCAACTGTATTTTATTGCTCACAAAACAAACAACCACTCATAATTAGAAAATTAAATACTGGCCTCCCTTCTATGGTCGAGCCATGTTGCCAGCTAAAACACGCAAAAATTTAACAAGAATAATATTAAAGTAGCCAAGACATAGCCAAATATTGTAGTGCCACATCACTAGTGGACATTTGAAATTTGCCAACTAGAACGGTCGGTTAACCGATGTGACGGTTAATTGGGGTCGGATAATCGATGCTCTACTGTACATGTTTTCTAGTAATATTTAGGTGGTCTATCAATTATTGCTCCTTTTAAAATCGTCCCTTTTTTTATAATCTATATTTTTACTATTCCATAATATTATTTTTGAATGATACGATCTTCGAAAATTGATTAAGCTCAATTTGAACATTTAAGCTCAACATTATGAACATAGAAAAAATTTATGAACATTAACCCTCCATTACGAATTCCTTAAGGGGGCCTTCCAGCTTTTCTTGGCCCAGGACCTCTCTGGTACCAAAGACAGGCCTGATTAAAACTAAAAATAATTAAATTAAAATTTAAAAAATTTAAAACTTTGCTACCTAGCCAGAGTTTTAAATTTCTCTGGTGTTAGGTAATTTGTACTGTATAAATATAGTACAATTTACCGAGATTGTACTGTATTTATAAAATATGAATTCCTGCCTTTGTATGATATTCATACATACAAAGGCAGGAATATTCATAAATATATTCATAAATGTACCAAGGATAGATTTGGCCAATACCAGTGCTTTCAGTCTTTTCATTTTTCTTATATAACAAATATAATGTATTAATTTCTCATGCTATAGATTTGAAAAAAACACATAAAAATAATTACATAAAACACTTTTCTTTCAAACTGAATTGTACTCTGAGTTAATTAATCCCTGAAGGTTCTGGTTTACGTGGATTGCTCGAATAATTATTTTTCACAAATATGCTAAAAATTGACATTTTCTTATTACCCTTAAGTTTGCAAAACTTTCTGAGAAAGCATGTTCGTGCACTTACTCAGCAGTTTGCACTGAAAGATGCTGCTTGAGGTGTTTGGATAAATTGCTTGTTCTTCGACCAGAGTTAATTGCTTTAAAGCGCACTTTACATTTAGCCGTTTTGCTATCAACTCGAAAAAAATACTGTAATACGTCTGTAGCTTACTCTTCTGTTTAGTAGATATGTTCTTCATATTCGTGAATTGATAGACGATGATGTAAGTTCGCCGACTTCCAGGGGGAATCGTTAATCCCGCGTCAGGATGATCTAGGGCAGTGGTTCCCAATTACTTTTTCCTGCGTACCACTTCAAGAAAGAGCTCAAACTCGCGTACCCCTTATAGCAAAAATTCATATTAATCCATACTAATATTATAAATTCGAAAATAATTCTGTTTGTCTGTCTGTTACCTTTTCACGTGTAAACCGCCGAACAGGTTTCAATAAAATATGGCACAGAGATAGCTTACACGTTGGAGATGGACATAGGTTACATTTTACTGCGAGAAAATATCTTACTCCCACGAGAAAATTCGATATAACGCGGGCGAAGCCGTGGGTAGACAGCTAGTGATAAATAAAATAAGTTTTTTTTTTACATTTATTACCTTTAAAATACAATTATAATCATAATGAAAATAACATAAGGTTATTTAATTTTAATGCGACAAATGTGCACGATTTTCTTTGCGCAACTTTGTAAAATCTGGTTGGTTTTTGGTCAGCATCAGTGTCGAGTCATCTTCAAGTCGAAGTCGGTGACGATTCATGTTTGTCACGGCCGAAAATCCGCTCTCGCAGAAGTATGTTGTGCAAAATGATAGTAAATATTTTATTGCCGCTTCGCTGACACGATAATAATCATAATTGTACAATTAACACAATTCGTGTTAATTGTACAATTTTTGTTTTTTGCGTAAGAATTTCATTTAGGTATCGTCACAAATGCATTTTGTTGATGAAATTTCGCGAATATTTTTAGTTATAAATAAACGAATTTGTGCATTCGACATCGTGTTGTAAATTTCCGAATTTTTGATGGTTCACCCATTTTGATGGTCCATGTTACTTGCGGATCTGTGTCTGCAAGTAAAAAACTGCATAGGATTTTTATACATTTTCTTACGGATTTCAACTTGGTAAAAACAAAAAAAAATACGAAAAAATTCCATCTCGTCAATTTATTTGTTACACTCAAGTTTTTGTTTCTATTTAGCGTAAAATTCCTAGTTAACTTAAAATTTACTATTCTTTTCTTTTTATTTAAAAAATAGCCTTAAAACGAAGACTTCTCGCATTAATTCTATCAAGTATAACTGGACTTGGTAATAAATAAATAAAAATGTTAATGATTGAAGAGAGTAGTGATAGGGGAACTGGGTTAAGTAGTTTTAGCGTTAGGAGGAAGGTCGCATGATCGTATAGAAACAGGTTAAAAGTTGATAGTGAGTAATATTATTGGTGAGGTTAAGCATGTTTCGACATGTTTTCTAGGATACTAGGAATAAATATAAAGAACTCGCTGTTGGATTAGATTGTGTTTCAACAAGCTAAATAAGTTCAGTATCTTGCTGGCTATCTAATGCCACACTCAGTTTATATCCAGCATTGGAACGCTACTGCGCTTGTATTTTTATTTCTGGAATATGACTCGCAGAGGTTGTGTAATTTCTCCGGACAGCTTCTGTTATGTTTGTGGTGAATACACAGTGAAAAGTCAACAAAGAAACATAAGTGAGTTTGTGAAGAAAGTTTAATTTGCATATTTCAAATTGAAACTTGGAGATTGAGACAAAGCAGATTTCTGGAAACAATAGGAGAAAAGGAAAAACAAGCATGGGACTCTTTCAAGAATGTAGTGCATAAGTTTTTGGGGAATACTAAGGACCCTAACTACAAAACCATTGTACAACGCATGCTGGCAGCAGCGTATGAAGCTCGAGGATGCGAGATAGCTTAAAAGTTCATTTCTTACACTCCCATATTGACTATTTTCCCGAAAACTTGGGAGCCTACAATGAAGAACACGGTGAAAGATTTCACCAGGATGTCCGTGATATCGAGAGAGGTGAAAAGGAAAATTGGATGTCAATACGTTAGCTGACTACTGTTAGATGCTCAATCCAGAAACCAGAGAAGGAAATTGGAAACGAGTTTGGAGAAGCATCAAAAATAAGAAGAAAAGGTTTCGTAAGAAAAAAGAGTAGACCTAAAATTGTGTATAAATATCAGAAACAATTTGTTGATTAGTTGTAAGAAANGGTAATTTAAGACTTAAAATCTTTTAATCTTTCAATGGCACAATTCACATTTTTAAATATTTTATTTCTGTAATAAATTTCCATTTTAAGATATATTAATAAATGAATTTAGGAATTAAATTTGTTTCCATTAAAATAAAATAAATCATCCAATTATTGAATATAAATTTTGAAATAAATAAATACAACTTATGATCAATTTGATAGTCTTACATTATAAAATATTATAATTTCAGCTATAGAGAAGAATAATTAATTGCATGAACATTTTAGCATATGAAATAAAAATACTTTCTTTAGATTTATTGACTATTAAGTAATAAACACACTAAATACTGGATAATATTCAAAACACACAACCAAAAATCTAGTCCATGAAACACAATGATGGAGAAAATGAACATTTTCAATTGCTTTTAGCAATTATCCTCAAGTTAAAGAATGTATTCGGAAATGTATAAGTGAATAGAATGTACAATGGAATGTAGTAATTTAAATATAAAACAAATGCTTGATTAGCTGTCAGATATCTTGTGTTTATATTGTGATGTAAATAGCTAGATCTAAAAGTAATGTTAAATATCCAATAATGTCCTCCAGGCTGGTGATAATATGTTGTTGTCCATATAGTTGATAGCTGTGTTGTTTCTATTGACCTTGTAAATTTCCAGCATTTTCAGGTACTTAAGTAGAAGGGGCTCCCATGTGTGGTGAATGAGATGTGCATTATCAGTGTTCACTTGCACATCCTTATTCAAGGCATATATGTCTAAAACCATTGTAGTTTGCTTTTTATTAATTGAAATAAGATGATCTTGCAGACACTATTTTAATAGACATATCATAGACCCAATGTATTGTAGGTGTCGGCTGTCTCTGTTGTCCCGAAGTGGTATGGCATATAATCCTGGAAAGAACATCTTATTGTGAGGGTCTTTGGTATTTCTGAGAAATCTATAGATGGTGGGGTTCCTTCTGTAGGCCAAAGAATATTGACTATAGTTTTCATTAAAAACAACAGTAAACATTGAAATTAATATAAATCCAGATAAGTTATTCAAAGGTATTAGAGAAACTATTGTTTAATGTAAATGAATTCTAATAAAGCAGACTTTGTTGTTGTTATTTTATTATTAATATATTGGATCTATTAAAAAACAACAATCCATTATTTATTATTAAAATAAAAATGACTTTCAGTTTTGGAATGTATGGAGTTCATTATTTTAAATGAAATCAGAATAAAACATTCTTTCATTTAAGGAAAATACTTATTATTACATTTTGAAAATCATTTTATGTTATAAATATCAGTTTAAAATGTTAAAAATGATTACAGTTTTGTAAATTATATTAACTGATAACTTGTTAATGCATTAAATTTTTAAAATAAATATTTATTTATTTTCTAGGGTGGAATTTATGTTTTTCAATTATTTGACTATTACTCAGCAAGTGGTATGACTTTGCTTTGGTTTTGTTTCTTTGAATGTGGAGCTATAGCTTGGGTTTATGGTAAGTTGATATTAATTTTAAATTTAATGATAATATTCAGATAATATAAAGCAATTATATAATTGTCAGTTCTTAGCTAAATATGTTAATTCTATTGTTATAATTTTAAAAAAGAGAGAAATTTACAAGAAAATACAGTTCAAAAAGTTGATATGAACTATGTGTTATAAAATTATAAAAAAAACAAACACATCAATCTTTTTTGTTAAATTAAATGATAAAATATTTGTTTCAGTAGTGGATGAACAATGAATTATCCTACATTGAAGGCCTTGCATTTATTTGGGAAAAATTATTGATTTTTTCCAATCTTTCAGTAATACCTTCTGTACAAATGGAAGGTACAATAATCCAAAATCATTCCATAAACACCTTTTTGGCTGCTGGGATTAGCTTTTATTTAGCTAGAGGATGAAGTATTAGACTAAGTTGAAAACATTAGCTAAATAAGAATGAATCCCAGCAGCCAAAAAGGTGTTTATGGAATGATTTTGATTATTCTGTTGAGGTTGATGTAGTTTATTGGTACAATAATCATTTAAACAAGTAGATATTTGTTTGTAAGCATGACATATACTTATTATTGTATGTAAGAAGTAGTGTCAAAATGGAAGACTTGAAATTGTTTTTATGTTATCAAATATTAGCTATATGTTTATGTATTTATGGTATGCAGAGCTGAAAGATAAAAATAAATGATATATTTTAATTAAACAATTTCATTAATAATTAATAAATTCAGTATTGCTGCATTTCTTGAACTTTGTTAGATTATTAATTACAGTATATATTTATATGGGGATATAAGTTTATATATTTATTAATTTATAATGGACTATTAACTGATGAACAGTAGTTTCAGCTTTTTAGATGCAACTATAAATGTGATGAAATACTGTACTTCTAAGTTTTTTCACAGAAAAACAATAATTTACATTTATTTTAAAAATATTTATCAACAATTTTAAAACCCATTTGACCTCAAATTTGCATTTATTTACATATTTCATCTTTTGTCAAAATCTTATGTATGTGTTGTGACTACATTAATGATAATACATACAGAAATAACAACTCATAACCAATTTTAATTGATTAAGCCGAACTTTCTTGATGAAATTATTAAACTATTTTTGGGTTACATTACTAATTAAAATATTAATTAATTTGACTAGAGTTAAGCTGCCATCTTGTATTAATTTTAATAATTATAATACTGTAATTTAATTTAGAAATTTCCAGAAGAAAAAATCGGCCCAGAATGGGACTTGAACCTGAAACTTCTGCTTAAAGTGTAGATTGTTGCCAGTTATGCTATCCAGACCCTTGTCTGATCTTCACTTTCAGAACTATTAATTTAGACATATAACCATACTGGTTACTTACAGTGCTGACTGAAAACAACTTTAAGCATCCACAGCCTTTAACTTCCTCCATGGCATTCAGTTAGCTGGTGCATTTACCTGGCATAGTGTATATACTGTACATATAAACAACTCAATGTAGTTCAAAAGTAGCATGATAATTTCAGCAAGATAATTTGACTTAATAATTATAATAAATTAATATGAGATGGTGGATTAACCACATATCTCTAGTCAAATTAATTAATATTAATTAAGTTATTAATGTAGCTTATTAATTTTGGTAAGATCATTTGGCTTGATGATATGCATTACATTACTTTTATATATGTATTAAATAAGTAAAAGTGAAAATTTAAATTCATAATTAGTTAAATTATAATTAAAATTCATTGCAGCAAACTGTATCATTTAGGTTATGCCAAAGTAATATATTTTTTTTTTTATTAAAAGATAACTTGTAAGGACTGAAGTATGAACATAAAAATTTCAGTCATTAATGAGATAAACTATTTTAGACAACACAAGCCTCAATGAACTCTTCATTATTTATGCTAAAATAATAATTATTTATACAATAATAAATATTAATTTAGACTGATTGTTTAAAATATTTTTTTAATTATAAATATTTTTATTTTAGGTGTAGAAAGATTTTATGACAATATCTCTGATATGCTTGGATTTAGAATTGGACCCTGGCTACGGATTTGTTGGACTTACATCACTCCGACAGTTACAGGTGTAAGTATAAGGAAATTATTAAATACTGAACTTAATTTTTTGAATTTAACAAGATTATTTCTATGTTTAGGGCATATTTCTCTTCAGTTTAATCACATTTAAACCTGTAACTTATAATAAAGTTTATGAATATCCATTGTGGGCCACTGGAATTGGATGGGCAATGGCTCTTGCTTCCATGATGTGTCTCCCTGTCTATTTTTTATACAAAATGTTAGTTACACCAGGAACCCTTACTCAGGTAAGATATATATAAAATTTTTAAATACTAAATATGATAAAGACAAACATTTTAGTAATTGTTATTGTAAAAAGTTAAATGAGATTTTAATAATAATGGTGTCAAATATCAATAAATTGTCATTAATTTAAAAAAGAAAATTTTATATTTTTAGAGATGGAAAGTTTTGACTACTCCATGTATACCACCAAGATTACTTCCTACTACTGAACAAGTATCTTCAGCACTTTTAAAACCATCTGCATTGAATTGTAATGGTATTGATTCAAGTACAATTGTATGAGAATAACACAGTATTATAAATTTAAGAAAAAAGATTAGTCCAGTGCATGTATCCCATTATCCCTTTTTCATCAGTAATATTTTTAGATGTTTTTCAGGTACTAAATATTTTAAAATCAATTTTGCAGTATAATTTTATCATAAAGCATGTGTAAATTTTTCATTGATTTGTATTGTATGGGACCACATAGATTGAAAATTTATTTTCCTCTTCCATTAATGTTCTCAAAATTTCGTAAACTGCTTGGAGAACATATTCGATTGGTGCTTCGAATAATAGCTGTATCCACCTTCACTGCTCACCATGTAATGTATAAAGCTTTGTATGTATAATTTCAATCATAAAATTTATTTGCGATAGGGACCATGTAAAAAGAATGCAAGTAAAATATGTATTTCTGTTGGTATTTTGGCTATTTGGTAACGGCTTAGTTTTGCAAAATACCATTATTGAGATTTATCCACTTTTATATTATTTTAAAACCTTCCAAACGATCATCAATCAATTTAGACTGTGCCAATATTTTAGTCCGTTGATGTTTTAAACTGTACAAGATATTCTTTGTAGTAAAAATATTTCTTCAGAAAACTAAATGAATTGTGTTATATGAGATTATAATAGTTATTAAAATGTGCTGTAGAAATTAATTTGTACAATAATGAAATCTAAAAAATTTTGATAGTAATTTAAAATTATGTTTTAAACAAAGTAAAATTATTGTAAATGATTTAAACTCGGAGAAAATTTTAACAATTATTATAGTCCATATTTATCAAAGGATTAATTTGAAATTTTAATTGTTAAATTGATAAAATTTTTGCATGAATATTTTAATAATCTTAAGTTATAAATATGATTGATACCAATACATATACATATATATATAAAATAATTAAAACTGAAATTAATTAAAATATAAAATTTTAGCTTTTACAATGAAAAATTCTGAATTTAGAATTTTAAAAAGTTGAAGATAATCTAAAAAATGATTTTCATTCACTTAACTGTTAGAAGATAACCATTGATTTGTATTTCAATAAACAACAAGGATACTTAGTATAATAAAATTGGGATAATTTAAAGTTTTGTCTGTTTTATTTATTGATTTTATTACACTAAAATAAGTGAAACCCCATGTTATTTTTAACATTGAATAAATATAAAACTTTTGCTTTATTACAACAAGATCATACAAAAATCTAAACATTTAGTTTTAGATTTTTTGTTTTTTCTTAAGATGGGTCTATAGATCTGAAAACATTTGGAAATTTTGTATATTTTGCTCCAAAAGAATACAATGTTTTATATTTATTAATTTTATTACATTTATTTCAAAAAGTTTTCAATATATATAAATTCAAAACTTATATATACACACACACACACACACACACTTCAACAGAAATTTCATATACTGTATAGCCTACATATGAAATTTCTGTTTGACAATGAACTAGAAAATTCCAGACCAGGAGAGGATGGTTGAAGTTGACATTAGTGAAACACATTATTTTTCATATTTGGATATTTACATTGAATCAATCTATATAGTTAGTGTGCATGTGTTAGTGTTACTTTATATCTTAAAAGTGAAAGATATTGGACTTCACGCCAATCCATAGATAAGCAAGAAACGAGAAAATTATCATCCAGGCATTTTTTTGGTTATATTCCAAAGCTGTTTTGCCGTTAAAGTAATTCGAATTCGTTATTCGATAAAAGGATATCAACCGTTTTCATCTGCCCGAAGAAGACGAAAATAGTTTCGTCGAAAGCGCTAGTAATTTATAGCGATACTTGTACGTTGTTTAACACCTGGATGATAATTTTCTCGTTTCTTGCTTACTTTATATCATTAGTAAAATATAAAAATCAATTAAATATAAACATCCAAATATGAAAAAAAATGTCTTTTACTAATGTCAACTTCAACCATCTGGTCTGGAATTTCCTATAGTTCACTGCCAAACAGAAATTTTGCATAATCGCTGTCTATAAATTAAAAAAAAAAAAAAAAAGCAACGATGTCAATAGCAATACCTCTATGGTATTTTGTTATATTTAGTAGTATTGGATTTATTGAATGATTTTTAAAATTGAATAAATATTATCTAAATGGCAGTCATGTTATATTATACAAAATAGGAAATAGCTAATAGAGAACTGTGATTTACACTCCAGGTATATGCGGCTTAACGATAATATGTTCTAAACATCAGAGTGAAGCCTACAAGAAGCTTTAAAAGTACGGGGTGACGAACCTAAGGCATGCATGACCAAAGTGGCATGTCATGAGAAATCATCTGGCACATAACGTATACAATTTTGGTTTATCACCTGGGTTTTTCAATTATCCTTTCAGTTTATCAGCCTTCGCCCTTTTTTCAATACGCCTCTCTACATTTATTCTAATTAAATAATATTCGTTACATTTTTATAAGTATTGTTAAGTTTAAAACTTCCAAAGGCATAAATATATTTTTTTAAATATTATAACTAGGCTAGGCCTATATGGCAGGCAGACTCAAAAAGTTCTCTACCCGTGTACTACTCACGTGTACTATACATAATACCAGTGGCGTTCCGTGACATTTGATAATAGGGAAGCCGTGTTTCTGTAAGAAGCCGACTTCCAGAAGCAATCAGTTAATCGCGTGTCAGCGATGGTCTAGGATCCATTCGTATTCGTTTGTTCGATAAGCCAGAAAAACCGTAGACTTCTCTAAATGTATTTTTCATATCACAATTACATTCTGAATCGCTAGCCACGATATAAGGGCTACAATTAAAAATAAAATAATAAAAACTTACTTGATGAAATAAAATGTGTGGTGGATATACATACCTAGTATAAAATATTCTTCAAATGTATGAATATACTTTTAAAGGAAATTATAATTAAATATAGCTTTGTAAAGAAACGTACATAAAAGTAACGTAAAATATTCTTTACTTTTTAAATCCTAACCAACTTTGCGTTGAATTTTCATCGATTTTAAGCCTAACAATTTTTTAAAATAATAATTGTCGCTATTGTATCGTTCAAAATTATTTTTAAATTACAGTCGACCCCCTATAATGCGGTAGATACGTTCCGCTTTATAAGAATTTCGCGTTGTAGGAATCCTCAAATACACGAGTCAATCACAGCCCGGCACGTGTGCAGTTTACGGACTACGGCTGTTTGAAAGGTTTTCTTCTATAAAATTAATCAATTCTAGACTTATTTCACTCAACATTTCCAAAACACGTATAATTTTTTGGAAATAATCCGTATAAACTATGCTATAAACAAAAAATTGTAAAATTACTTACCGAGTGTGCACCGTTCGACCACGCCATTGCTTAAGCTTGTTTTCGTCGCGGAGCAGCGCATCAAACGGCGGGCGCATTTTCTGATAAGTTATTTTTCTGCGAAAAATTCGCTGAACTTTGGAGACATCATTAATAGAAGTAATTTTTATGACCGTTGAATAAGAAATGTTTTTTCACAAGAGATGTATAAAATTACAGTACTTAATTTATATACTGTACAAACAATAGTAAACTCAACTTACCCGCCTAAACTCTCTGTAGCATGTAAGTACTTCGACTGCTCATCCACTATTAGCCCAGATTCAACCAATCTTGTCGCGACAGGAGTCGGCGATGACGTTTTACCACATTTTACGAGTCTCTTTTAGCGTCTTTATACGAATACGGTCGCAATTTTTTCGCTGCGATATACGAATCCGCATTATATCAACCCGCGTTATAAGGGGTCAACTGTATTTTATTGCTCACAAAACAAACAACCACTCATAATTAGAAAATTAAATACTGGCCTCCCTTCTATGGTCGAGCCATGTTGCCAGCTAAAACACGCAAAAATTTAACAAGAATAATATTAAAGTAGCCAAGACATAGCCAAATATTGTAGTGCCACATCACTAGTGGACATTTGAAATTTGCCAACTAGAACGGTCGGTTAACCGATGTGACGGTTAATTGGGGTCGGATAATCGATGCTCTACTGTACATGTTTTCTAGTAATATTTAGGTGGTCTATCAATTATTGCTCCTTTTAAAATCGTCCCTTTTTTTATAATCTATATTTTTACTATTCCATAATATTATTTTTGAATGATACGATCTTCGAAAATTGATTAAGCTCAATTTGAACATTTAAGCTCAACATTATGAACATAGAAAAAATTTATGAACATTAACCCTCCATTACGAATTCCTTAAGGGGGCCTTCCAGCTTTTCTTGGCCCAGGACCTCTCTGGTACCAAAGACAGGCCTGATTAAAACTAAAAATAATTAAATTAAAATTTAAAAAATTTAAAACTTTGCTACCTAGCCAGAGTTTTAAATTTCTCTGGTGTTAGGTAATTTGTACTGTATAAATATAGTACAATTTACCGAGATTGTACTGTATTTATAAAATATGAATTCCTGCCTTTGTATGATATTCATACATACAAAGGCAGGAATATTCATAAATATATTCATAAATGTACCAAGGATAGATTTGGCCAATACCAGTGCTTTCAGTCTTTTCATTTTTCTTATATAACAAATATAATGTATTAATTTCTCATGCTATAGATTTGAAAAAAACACATAAAAATAATTACATAAAACACTTTTCTTTCAAACTGAATTGTACTCTGAGTTAATTAATCCCTGAAGGTTCTGGTTTACGTGGATTGCTCGAATAATTATTTTTCACAAATATGCTAAAAATTGACATTTTCTTATTACCCTTAAGTTTGCAAAACTTTCTGAGAAAGCATGTTCGTGCACTTACTCAGCAGTTTGCACTGAAAGATGCTGCTTGAGGTGTTTGGATAAATTGCTTGTTCTTCGACCAGAGTTAATTGCTTTAAAGCGCACTTTACATTTAGCCGTTTTGCTATCAACTCGAAAAAAATACTGTAATACGTCTGTAGCTTACTCTTCTGTTTAGTAGATATGTTCTTCATATTCGTGAATTGATAGACGATGATGTAAGTTCGCCGACTTCCAGGGGGAATCGTTAATCCCGCGTCAGGATGATCTAGGGCAGTGGTTCCCAATTACTTTTTCCTGCGTACCACTTCAAGAAAGAGCTCAAACTCGCGTACCCCTTATAGCAAAAATTCATATTAATCCATACTAATATTATAAATTCGAAAATAATTCTGTTTGTCTGTCTGTTACCTTTTCACGTGTAAACCGCCGAACAGGTTTCAATAAAATATGGCACAGAGATAGCTTACACGTTGGAGATGGACATAGGTTACATTTTACTGCGAGAAAATATCTTACTCCCACGAGAAAATTCGATATAACGCGGGCGAAGCCGTGGGTAGACAGCTAGTGATAAATAAAATAAGTTTTTTTTTTACATTTATTACCTTTAAAATACAATTATAATCATAATGAAAATAACATAAGGTTATTTAATTTTAATGCGACAAATGTGCACGATTTTCTTTGCGCAACTTTGTAAAATCTGGTTGGTTTTTGGTCAGCATCAGTGTCGAGTCATCTTCAAGTCGAAGTCGGTGACGATTCATGTTTGTCACGGCCGAAAATCCGCTCTCGCAGAAGTATGTTGTGCAAAATGATAGTAAATATTTTATTGCCGCTTCGCTGACACGATAATAATCATAATTGTACAATTAACACAATTCGTGTTAATTGTACAATTTTTGTTTTTTGCGTAAGAATTTCATTTAGGTATCGTCACAAATGCATTTTGTTGAT